ACCTCTTCCCTGTGTCCTTCCCTCCATGCTCTCCCGCGCCGAGCTGTCTCCCTGTGCACACACAGCCCTTCTCTTCTCCTGTGACTGATTTCTCCAAGGAGTGCATCTACCTGATGTCAATGTTCAGCTTATGATGACCCTTTGGTTTGCAGCCAAGTGCTTTAACCACTGCCCACCAGAGTTCCTGGGCACACAGTAGGCACCATTCAGTGTTTTTTGGAATGAGGCGTATCCTCAGACTCAGCATCAGGCCGTACTACCCTGCCTGGCAGTACTCTCTCCCACAAACATCCATTCCGCAGACACACACCCCACGCCCCTCAGTAGGAGGGGTCCCACACTGTAGCTGGCAGCCCAGTGCACAAGTGATTCCACCTCCCACCCTAACCAACAGCTTCTCCTGAAGGTGAAGACGGATAGGGAGCGTTCACTTCACGTGTGGACCTTTCAGCCCACGGAGCCATCCACTCCCATACCCCGACATGGCGGGAGGCAGGCCCAGACATCCAAGGGAAATGCCAGGGGCTTTTCCAACATCACTTCCCAAACAAAGAGGACAGCTTCTGGTTTGCACGGTGAGTTTATTACATGATTCAAGTTCAAATAGAAAAATGGAAACCGAGATTTTGGCAGGGAGGCCACAGATGAAGTCTGGAAGGCCACTGCCCAGACTGCAGCCTCGCTGGCCACGCGTGGGGCCGCTAACTCAGCTTGACTCGATCGAACTCCTCATCGAGACTTCCGTCCGCGACCTGGCCGTCTCTGCCACTCCCGTTGGAGACGGGGTCCTGGGTCCCTGGGCCTGGTGCCTTGGTGAGGGCTCCGTAAACACCCATGGCCTGAGAGGGACAGAGAGACAGAGAGCCATGAGGACGGCAGGCAGAGGGGATGCCCCCCAGTGGGTAAAAGGATCAGCAGGCTTATTTTTCCTTTGTTCCTCTGTCAAGCCTCAGTCTTAGCACGTTTTGAAGTTGGTTCTAGTAACTTTACAAATTTTCTCAGAGCAGGCAGACCCTCAGGGTGCTGGCACCCATGTTTCCAAAAGGTGTCTCAAGATCGTCCCCACACCCCAGGGGTGAAGCAGGGGTCTTGTTCTTAGAGATTCACTCTCTACAGGGATGGGTGGGAGGTCTCATGCTCACACCACCGAAGGCCGCCATGGGACGTGAGTGGTGCCACCTCTGATCCCGGCACTGGTGCTTTGTGCCAGGTCCCTGGGGCACTCTAACCTGGGCCACCATGCTGGTCACATCACCGGGATTGGAGGGCAGCAGGATGGTGTTGGAGTCCTTGGCCAGTTTGGAGAACGCGCTGACGTACTGTTCGGCCACGGTCAGCGAGGCGGCTGCGTCTCCGTTCTGTGGTCACGGGGGTGAAACCAGAAATCAGACTTGGGGAGGGAGAGTCTGTGCAGCCACAGGACAAAGGACGTGTCATCTCGTCACCGGTGTTCACAGGCAGGACCCCCTCTAAGCCTGGGAGACGGAGCCCCTTGTACTGTCAGTTCTGTCCCCCACTCCCACCCAAACGCCTCTCACGTGTTGTGTCAGAGCTGCGGCCAGGATCCGGATGGCTTCAGCCTTAGCCTTGGCCTTGGCCAGAACCGCACTGGCCTCTCCTGGAAGAGGGACAAAGCGTGGGACCCCAGCTGCCTGGGCCAGCACCCACTATGACGCCCAAGCCGCGCTGCTCCCTCACCCTCCACACCCCGCTGACCTGCTGCCTGATTTATCTGCTCTGCCTTTTCTGCCTCGGAGGCCAGGATCTGGGCTTGCTTCTTCCCTTCAGCCACGTTGATGGCTGACTCTCGGGTCCCCTCAGATTCTAGAACGGTGGCCCGTTTCCGCCGCTCCGCCTCCACCTGGAAGTCCCCAGCAAGCCCATCAACAAGAAGCTAGGGGAGACTGTCACACAGATTTCCAAGGAGCCCATCACAATAAGGAAGGGAGTCCTGGTCGCTCTGGGCCCGGAGGACCGGGAGTTCCTCCTCCCCATCCCTCTCCAGCCCCCACCTGCATCTGCATGGACTCTTTCACCCGGGGCGGCACGTGGATATCCTTGATTTCATAACGGAGACAGCGGATGCCCCAGCAGTCAGCAGCCTGGTTGATGGCATCCACAATGCTGGCGTTCAGGGACTCCCGCTCCTGGAAGAAGAGGCCTCAAGTCACCACTTAGGGGCCTAAACCAAAGGGCCTGGGACCAATCAGAACCCCCAGGAAGGTCCGAGAGCACCTGGCACCTGTCTTCAAACCCTAACTGCGGCTCGGGTCCCCTTACCCGGAAGACTTTGTCCAGGGAGAGTTTGCCAAGTTCTGATCTCATGGTCGTCTGAGCCAGCTGCGTGACGGCATACTCAGGGTCTTCCACACCATAGCTTGCCTGAAAGGGCCATGGTGAGGGTGACGAGCTTGGATGTGTGTTCTAGTGAAGCAGGCCGATCAGGAGGTGGAATGAAGCAGGGGTGGGTACCTTGTAGGGGTCCATGATGCGCAGATAAAGGACCCCATCGATCTGCAGAGTCACGTTGTCTACGGAACCGGGAGAGAAAGGGGGAAGTCAGGCCGCCAGGTCCCACCAGCTCCTCCTTCCAAGGTCCGGATCTTCAGCAACATTCCAGTGGCGTCAGAGCACCGTGTCACCCCGAGCCCCTCACCCAGAGTCACAGCCGACTGCTCGGGCACGTTGATGACAATCTCCTTGAGGCTCTGCACATAGCGGATCCGGTCCAGCACAGGGATGAGGACGTTCAAGCCCTGGGAAGAGTCACGGGCTCTCAGAGGGACAGGGACTCTGGTGCTGGGGCCTGAGCTGGGCCTGGAGTGGGCAGGGCATCATCAGACGGACACTTGGCCGAGAGGGAAGTCAGAGGATTGGGGTGGTCACCAGACAGGGGAGGAATGGGAGCCTGGGCCTCTGATGGGAGCGGAGGGAGGGTCATGGGGCCAGAAGCCAGCAAGGCCCCCTCTCTAAGCTGATCGGTGGGGCCGCGGGGATGGGTAGGGAGATTCCCAGCACGCTAGGTCAATGGGAAAGGGGGCAAAACCTGGATGCTGGTCCCGCCCCTGCCAGGTCCGCCCCGAGGGTTCCCTGTGCATCACGGGGGTGGGCAGATGCTTCTCAGGACCCCCCACCCCCCTTCTGAAGGATGGGGGTATCAGGTGGCCCTGATAGAGGCTCTCACAGGCTCCAGAATCCGGTGGAACCGGCCCATTCGCTCCACCACCCAGGCCTCCTGCTGCGGTACAAACAGTACCACGGTGTTTCGGGGCAATCCGGAGGAAGCGCGGCGCGGCGCGCGACCAGGAGCCAGCACAGAGCCCTGGAGGGAAGACGAGGGTGAGCAGAGACCCCAGGCGGCAGGGCACCCCGCTCCCCAGCTGCGAGCCTCCAGGGTCCTCGGAGCGTGACTCACGTGGGAGAACCATGACCTCTGACCCCCGCTCTCCCCGCAAACTCGGAATCCTGCTCTTTCCCAGCTGAGGACCCGGGTGATCCCTGACTCGACCACTGGAAGAAAGCAGCCTTGCTCTCACCCTCAGTAATAGGCCCCCAGTCCCCCGCGCCGCGCGCGCCAGCATTTCCCACGGCCGCAGACACCTCCGGAACTAACGAGACGCGGAGCAGAGCGGTCCAGCCCGAAACTCAGACCCGAGTGCTTCCTGCTGCGGCCCCGCCCCCGGAAGTGCTTCCGGCGGTCCCTTCCCCATTCCACAGCCCCCTGATTAGTCGTTCCTGAGGAAAGGCAGCCCTTCAGGAGGGAGACCGAGGTTGGAGCTTGTTTCAGCTCAAGATCCCGAGCACGGTGGCCGAGATGGAGGCTATTTCCCGTCGGCACGTGGCCTCCAAACCCCTCTCACCGAGCTGTGTACCCACACCCAAGACGGAGTTTACCCTCGGGAGCGTACGATCTCTCCATCTATCACCATAGCGACCAGGGGACTGGAGCCGACTCGTTGCCATGGTTGCCATAGTGCCATTCTCTGATAGTCCTGCTGTGTTGTACCCAGCCCTCCCACTGGGGACTGACCCCATTCCCGTTGCCATGGTGATTGGGCCTCGACTTTCCCCTCCCCTCCTTTCTCAAGGCATCACAGGCATTTACGCGGCTTCCCTGTCAGGGTCTGTCCCCTTGCGTGCAGAGTCCGCCACACAGCCCGTACTCAGCCTTGCCTGGGGCATGTGGCTCTGCACACATCACATGTCCAAGGCACATTCTTGGAGAGGTCTGTCTAGTCACTGTTTGATGTATGAAGGTACTGAAGCCCAGAGGGCCTCAAGCTACTAACACAAACAGTATGCAGATTGACATGCAGAGTCCGGTTCCTGGGGCTGACCCCCACACACCCCTTCCCACCACCCCAACTCATTCCCTGAAATGAGAAAGACCCGGCCCCAGCCCAAGATCTCCTGTCACCTCTTTGAAAGGGCGAAGTGCCAGCTCCAGTTAAGTCCTTCATCCCTCTTCCCCATAATCTCCCCAAAAGAAAAAGGCTTAGTTCAAGTTTCCAAACAAGATTTTATTCTTTTTTTTTTTCTTCTAAAAAAAAGTACCAGGTACATTTTTTCTTCCTGTTATTTTTCAAGTTTCAGCAAATGGTTGTTCCCCTCAGCCCAACCCCAGGAATCAGTGCTGAGGCCGGGCCGGAGGCTGGTGTGGGGAAGAAGGTCATTGGGAACCACATGATTGAGTTTGAGGGTGCCCCTCACCCCAGCTGAGGTAGGTGGGTCAGAGTCTGGCCAGGTGAGAGGAGTCACCCCCATCCTTAGCCCTGACTCTGCCCTTGGAAACCTTCCTCAGTCAGGGCTTCAAAGCAAGGAGACTTGGGCGGGAGGAGAGAGGCAGCTGGAGTGCAGAGCCCTAGGTGAAGGGTGCTTAACACCCACGTGTGCATGTGTGCACGCCCTCTGTCCCTCTCACCCACACACACCACATGCACACACAAGCTTGTGCACACTTGCACACATGTAAGTTGGCTTTCAGAGATGGGTCAGAAGGTAAGAAAAGTGAAAGGAACAAGGAAGGACAGGGAAGCTGAGGTTTTGGCTAGTAACTCAGTCCTTCTGGGAGAACCCCTCTGTCCCCACATCAGCCTCTTCAACTCCTGAGGTTGGAGGGACATACGAGAGTGGGAAAGGGGAAGGGGCAATGCCAATTATCAGGTTTGGGAGGTCACCAAGGCAATCCAATTTGAATAAATTATAAATTAAAAATAAATAAAGTAAAAAGTGGTCCCTGCCCAGGACAGGGAGGCAACGGCTGGCATGACTTGCCTGGGAACTGGGGACATCTCAGGGTAGCTCTGGTTCCTCCCCACTGCCTAAGCTGGCCTGGGAGACCCAGGGGAGGGGATGGGCACGAGGAGGACCCAGAGAAGGGCAGGGGGGGCAGGGGCAGAAGCTTTCAGTGCCCAAGTAACCGACTCGGGCATGAGCATGGCGAGAGCTTGAATTCAAGCCTGGAGGGGCTCTCGCCACCTCGCCACGTGTCTGCTGTGTCCCGGATGGAATGGGACGGGCAGGGCCTTGGCCCACAGGGGTCCAGAGCGCTGGCAATCAGGGCAAAGGTGAATAACGTGGATTGTGAGGGGCTTCAGTCACGGCCTGCAGTTCATAGGGGAGCCCTGTGTCCAGCTCCAGGCTCCGACGGGAAAAAAGAAGACGGATGTCTCCATGCAGGCTTAAGCGACCTGAGCGGGAGCTCCGGAACCTGGAAGAGGACAGCGCAATCAAAAGGGAAGAATCCAGGCAGCGGAGAAGCCGGGACAGACCCCTTCAGGCAGGGGCTGCCGGGGCTTCCCGAGTTCGGCCTGGGCTCCGTCCTTACCGGAGGTGCAGCAAGTAACAGAGGAGACGGCGGCTGGGGCTAGCTTTTCCCTCCTCACCCACAGGCACCAGAAAGAGGCGATGGCGCAGGAAGGTCATGTGGGCAGCAGGCATGTCAGAGAAGTCAAAGGTCACAAGGAACATCTTCACGACGGTCTGGTTGGGGTTAAATAAGGTCTGGGGACAGGACAGGCAGGGTTGGTGGGGCCTGGGGGATGTTCTTCCCTCTCCCCCCTCTCGTTCCCTCAGAGCCGACTCACCACTTGGATGGTACCCGCCTTGGGCACGCTGTAACCCTTCCTCCCCAGGGGGTTCAGGTCCACGACGCCCTGGGAAAGCCACGGAGCCATCAGCTAAGGTGGGGGCTCGGGAGCCCTGAACACGCCCCTCCCCACAGTCTCTTACCCTGAGGCCTGCCCCGTTCCACACTAGCGTGCTCCCCGCCTGGCCCTGACTCTCCTAGGTGAGGGATGCCTCCTACCCTCGACCCCTCACCCTGCCGACAAGCTGACTGAGTTGGGGTCAGGTCATACCAGGAAGGGGGCCGGGGCGTTTTGCTCAGAAACATCAAAGGAGGTGACAGTGACAGGCAGAGTGACATGTTGGGGGCAATAGGAGCCACTAGCTCCAATCTCTGCCGTGAAGCCCTCGATGTGGCCAGATGGTGCGAAGCGTCCTCGAAGCAGTGACTCCTAGGGTTGGGTGGGGGAGCAAACACGTCGTGGAGGGCTCTCTCTTTTCCTCACTCATCCAAGGCATGTGCCACCATCCCACTCTCCCCAGGACCCCCCAGTCACAGAGCCCAAGGGGAGCTACCTCAAAGTTGCCCAGCAGGGTACGGCTGACAGCAGGGGTAGGAATAGGGGAGGCACTGGGGGGGCTCAGCATGCCTGGCCCCTTCCGGAGGCTTCGAAGGGAGCTCCTGGTAGGGGAGGGGACACATAGTGGGTTGACTTGAGATACTCAGGGATGCCCGCTCATGTCCTTGGGCCCCACCCTTTGCTACTACTAGTGCTCCTGCCCTGGGGTCCTCTATCCCAGGTTAGAAGGGAATTACAGACTCCTGTCCCCATGTTCAGTGACAGGGCAGAAGGAGAGTCGGTCACTTACGGCTTGAGGCGACGGGCACCTTTCTGCCTCCGCCCCATAGGACTGCAGTCTGTTGGGTCCTGTGGAGAGGAACGCAAGGTGGGCGGCGGCCAGGGCTAACGGGCAGGGAGCTCATTACAGGCATCCCCTTGAGAGCAGACCCCCTCCCCACCTGGCTTACCAGCACAGGCTCTTTGAGCCCAGGCAGCAGGTGGCTCCAGAAGGGTGTGGCTTTGGCATCAGAACTGTTGGCAGCAGGAGGGTGGCCCAGGGCTCCCCGGCGCCTCCGAGGGGCTGGCCCCTCATCCTCAGAGTTGACCCCCAGGGCTTCTCCAGCAGGAAGCAGCCTTCGCTTGGTGGGGCAGGGGCCTGGAGGGCCGGGGCCAGGGGGGGTGTGCTCGGGACTGTGCCCATTGGCAGTGCCAGGGGACTCCCTAGGCCAGGGGCTGCTCCCATTGTCGACCCCAGCCACTGGGCTCTTAGCCCCTGTTTGTGCAAGACTGTGCAAGTCAGTGTCAAGTGTGTGCGGGTGGCCCGGAGGGGCTGGCCCTGGGGACTCCCCCAGGCACCCCTGGCCCCCTGGGTCTGGAGCAACCCAGTCTCTGGTGTGCAAAGTATTGCAGGAAGCATTTGATGGGGGCCACTGGGGGCTCGGGGGCCCTGAAGTCCAACGCGAGCTGGAGCTGCTTCCCTGCTCCACAACACGGAGGCCGCGGTGGCAGAAGTGCTGGCTGGCCAGGCCCAGGCCCAGGCCCAGGCCCTCGGGGCCCAACAGGCCCCCGGTAGATGGTTCTTCTGGAGGTGGTCCCTCTCTGGCCCCCAGCCCAGGGCCTCTCTTCAGCTCCCGGGTACCCTCAGGGGGCGGGGCTGGCCGCTTCAGGGTCCTGTGAGGCTCAGAGGCACCAGCCGGAGGGGCAAAGATGGATACCTGGTAGACGCCGGGGGACGCCGCCCCCCCTGCTGGGCTGTAACCCATGAGCAAACCACCCTGGAGGGGCCCCTGCCTGACAGGAGGCTGGGAAGGGCCAGCCTCTGGCTCTGAGGATGGAGACGCCTCCACCTGCACGTGGCGCATGAAGTCCCCCTTGGGTCAGGGGGCCCCCCCCACACGGTCTTTATGCTGGGGCCGAGCTGGGGGGCCTGGGGACATCTGTGAGAGAAGAGAAAAGACAGTGGTCAGGAGAATCAACAAATCTTCTCCCTCCTGGCTGAGTTCCAGACCCCCCCCCCGGCCTGCAGAGATGAACCTGAGGGGCCCTGGGGGTGGAGGTGTTTGAATCCCCAGATGGAGGAATGCCACAGAGACCACCCCCAGAACTCCTGAGAGGTGACTTGTTTGGCTCAGGTTTGTCCCAGACCTGCTGGCCCCTTCCTTTCCTTGGCACTCACCCCGATGAACAGGCCTCGAGCCTAGCTGATGTCTCGCTGTCCTAGCTGGCAGTCTGGCCCATGCCCGCTGCACTGGCAAGGTGACTGCCACCATTCCGTGCAGCTCCTGGGCTCAGTGGGGCCCTGAAGAGAGAAGACACGACCTAAGCCAGGACCCCTGGCGGCTCTGGTCAGGCCCCTCTCCAATCATGGGCTAACAGGATGGCCACGGACGTCCTTCTCCCACTTACGCTCAGCAGAAACAGACGTGGCTGGGGGTCCAGGGCCCGGTGGGCTGGGCTGGGCTACCTGTGGGGCGGGTCAGAGGCCAGACTTGGCTCGAAGTATTAAGGATGTGGGAAGAGAGTGGAGGCAGGATGACCACTTGCCAGGGCCACTATTATGGGGACTCCTTCTCTAGGTGGAGATGGGACAAGATACCCTAAGACCCAGGAGACCATGTCCAGCTGAAAGGTGGCCAAGGCAAAAACTGAGTTCTTCCCCCTCAAGGCCCCTTAGCCATATAACCCCTTCCCATCTGTGCCCAAAATGACAAGAGGCATCCCGGAGCCCCAGGGCAGAGGTAACGCAGGCAGACGCTCAGAACCGACACAGGTACAAACCTCAGGTCAGTGCAAACAAAGCTGGCCCTTCAGCTTTGAATTGCCACTTGTCCACAGCAGTCTGTCCCTTTAACAGGAGGCAATAAATTCAACCGAAAACATGTTTGGGGGAGGAGGCACTGCTGGAAGGCACTTTTCAGGACCTGCCCCCGCCCCAGCCCTGCAAACTAGAGATAAGGTAATGGAGGCACCTCTCACACTCCTCCCCCAATGCTCACACACCCAGCACCCAACACCCAACCACGTCTTGCTGCCAGGGCACAAGATGTGCCTCACTGACTAGTCTGCTCTCAGGAACCTAGACTGGGTGAGAGTTAAGTCAAGGTGAAGGTCATCTTCCTCCATGGGAGGGAGTAATGACCCCAAGGGTCAGGTTTCCTCTTTGGGCAGCAGCCTGAGTTACCTGCCTTCCATAATGTCCCTTCCCCTCCAAGGAATGCCTCCTGTGTGCCTACCCAAGCCAGACCCTTCCTCCTGGGTCAGGCCAAATGCCATCCCTCCAGGAAGCCTGCTCTGGTCGCCAGCCCATAGACATCTCTCCTTCCCTGTAACCTCAGTGTCACTACTTCCTGTAACCCAGGGGCAGTTCTGCTTGCCCTGGTGGGTAAGACATCTCCTAGTCTGGTCATAGGGTTCCAGAGGGTAAGTCTGTGCCACTGTCCCACCAAACTGAGCACAAGAGCACGCACACAACAGGACTCCAAAGAGTGGAACGCAAGCCCGAGATCGGAGCAGCAGTCCTCACTGTGCAAAGAACAACTTCCTGGATGAGCAAGGAGAGGGTTTAACCACACAGGGATAATCAGCAACCAGAGGGGGCGGGAGAGGAGGAAGGGAAGAGCTGGCGGGGGACTGAAGAGCACTTCTGCAGAGCCCCCATCTTTGTACCCAACCGTCTAACTTCACCAAGTGCTCATTAGAGCTGGGATCTCCTAAGAACATTCCGGGTTCAGATTCCCAGTGGTGGGCAGAGGGGCTGGAAAGGGCAGACAACCCACAATCCAGAGGGGCTGGAAAGGGCAACACTGTCAGGGAGGACCACCTGCACTCACCTCAACCCCTCCTTTCCCATACCAGAGCCACTCAGATTCAGGAAGGGCCTTTTCCTCAATGCCCTCCCCTCCAGGCCATCCCAGCTGGCCTCTTGAATCCTGGCCGCAGGCAAGCCAGGTGACGACATGATGCCCTCCTTGAGCCCAGCATGCACTGCACCTGCTCACTACCCCAGAGCCCTCTCAGTTCCCACCCCTTCAAGAAGCAGATCTAAGACTCACTCCCTACCACCCAGCCGGTCTGGCTCTAGACCGAGGTTTCAAGCTGACTCATGGGGCAGGACTGCAGGGGGGGCGGGGTAGGCTGAACCTCACCCTCTGTGCAGGGGGCGGGCAGCAGCTGGCTTCAAACAGCTGTGCCAGGCTGTGTCTGGCAAGGACTACACCTCCCAACATGCCAAGGGAGCCAGGCCAGAAAAAACAACAAGTCCCATAATACCATGGGGTCCGTACCCTCAGACACCTGCTAGGCCTGAGAGGTGGGTGGGTGGGTGTTGGTATAGGTCCCAGGTCCCAGGCTTATTCTGCCCTTCCCCTCAGTGTTAAAGGCACCCATTTCTCCCTTGATCAAGGAAGGTGACAGGAAGAAATTCCTATACATGTGCTCCCCCCATCCTGTTCAGAGAACTGCTGCCCGCGGCTGGACATGCACACAGCTGCACAAGCTAAGGGGGCTGTTCCCACGACCACCACCGTCGGTCTGAGGGTTAACTCTGCTTTCGCACCAACCCCTTGGCCGCTGGCCCAGAGCCCTCCACCCTCAGTGGGGCAACTCTCCACACTGCTCGTGGCTGACTCACTCCGGCTCCTGGATTCCAGGCTCCTGGATTCCAGGCTCTGGTCGATCTCCCAACCCCTGCTCAGCCTCCCAGGTCCTTTTCACCCCTGCGCTCCCCAGAGCCCAGGACAGGCCCCATTCCCTACTGGGGCTTCGCAGATGTGTTCTTTTCCCCTAGTGCACACTCACCCCGCTCCCAAATGGGCTCCACCGCGGCGGCCGCTGCTCCGGGCCCTTCAGTCCTGTCCCGGTCCCCCCCCCTCGGATGCCCGGTTCTCCCCGCCACGGGCCCCCAACCCAGACAAAGGGTGACTTAGGCTGAGTCCCGCTCTGCCAGGCTCTGCTCTGCTCAGCTTCGTGTGCAACGCTAGCGGGTCCCGGCGCCCGCAGCCCCCCAGCCGCTGGCGCGCCCCTCCCCGCGACGGTCCCTCCCCGGGCCCGGCCCGGCTCCTTGCCTCCGACTCCGCTGCCCCTCTGACTCACAGGCCATTTCCTACCAGCTGATGGGGCCGCCCGCCCCGCCCAGCGCCCCACCACCCTCGCCGCGGCGGCGGCGGCTGCCACGCCCCCTTCACCAGGCCACGCCCACCCTGGGAAGAGGCCAAGCTCATTGGCCCATAGGAGGCCAGCCCCCCGGCGACCTCGCGGGTGAGGAACGCCCTCTCCAAGACACGCACGCCCATTGGCCCCCGAGGAGGCAGGTCTACACGGGTGGCCCCGCCCATCTCATTAACTCCTCATCTGCCGTAGTCCAAAGCTACCCTCTGCCTTGCCACTTCTTAACCCCGCCCTTCCTCTTCCAGGACTGATTAATAGGAAGCTTCAGGACTTTCATGGACAGTCGACTGACCCCGAAGTCAGCCGTCCTTGCTACACCGGACCCCAAATACTCCGCACCCCTATTCATGTCTTCCCACCTTCCAAACCAGAGCTGCAAACCCCAGAGGTCTGTTGCAGCCCAGGAGGCCCCCTTCATGCCGGAACAGATGAAGCTCTGACCCGATCACCTTATGTGCTGGAAATGACATTCTATTTGTCTTACTCCATTCCGCCATTCTTCGCCTTTGTTACAGGGGCCCCGAGGGCTCCATTTTTATTCAGGGACCCAGGCCTCATTCCCTGTGTCTCTGAATTCCCACATCCCTTCTGCCAGCCCTCCTTCCACCCTCCCGCCCCTGCTCCCTGAAGAAGGGTGCCCAGGGGAGAAAGGATAAGAGGGCTTCTGCCCAGAGTGGGGGCCTGTGCTGAGCTCTGGCGATGGAGCTCACCCCCATGACTCACAGCTCTCCCGAAACGCCCCACCTTCCCCTGAGTCACTGGGCCCCAGGCCGGGCCCAGCCTCAGCCAATTTAAGCTGTAGCAGCAACAGCAACAGCATCCCTGACCCTCGTCCTCCTGTTTTACAAGTGACCAGGATGGAAATCTTGAGGGCTGCACTTTCAAAGGCACTTGCTAGAGTGCCCCCGCCCTCTGCACCTGTTGGCAAGTCAGAGAGTTGGGAGGCTTTTTCTCCCATATTTCTGCAGAGGTAGGAGGTGAACCAGGAAGACTCAAATTGAGGCCTTGGAGAATTGGGGTCGGGCTCCCTGGCTGTCCCTTCAGAAGCAGGGCGTGTACTCTTTCACAACTCAAAGGCTACAGGAGGCCCAAGGTCCTGGTTTCTGCCTTGCCTGTGCTGTGGGACCTACAGGTCCTGAAGGTTGTCACTAGACAGGAAGAGGCTCCCCTCCCCTTACTTCCTCCTTGTGCCCTAGACCTCGGGGAACAGCAAGAAACAGGCCTTCTGGGCTCCCTTCCCCTCACCTTCTAACCAGGGGAAAAATCCTGAAAAAAAACAACCCAGTTGCCTTGGACAGACTTTCCTGCTGGTTCCCTAACGATAAGAAAGAGGATTATGAAAATGGTCAGCACCCTCAACAAAATTGCAAGGTTTCAATGTAAGCGTTTACTTGTCTTCCTAAAACCTTACTGGGAAGACAAGCAGAGACAGACGCTGCAGGAAAGGAAGAATCCCGTGGTGACCCCACCCTGTTCTATTTTACTGCTACAGCTAGGCCCAGGCCTTAGTTGACTACAAAGGTCAGGGAGCAAGAGTTCAAGGGGAAGAATCAAAGATGTTCCAAGCCTCAGTATGGCCTGGGAAGGCATTACTACACTCCCTAAGCCCTTACCTAGCTTTGTTTACACACACACACCCTACCCTATTAGAGTGGGTGCTCCATGAGAGTGGCAACCCTGTCTGTTTTGTATATGTCAGCATCCC